GAATATAATTACCCAAGCTCTATCTGCTGCGGCTTTATGCCCGTTCCCATTACATAAGGAGTTTAGAAAGCAAGGGGGTCCACTCTGAACCTCGTGACTCGACGGGAGGGTCCTCCTTACTCTTTGTATCTCTTCCATTAGACATAAACCGTTGACCAAGTCTGAGACTAAGATTGGATCCAGCCGTACCTAGGCTCCACGAGGAGTTTAGAAAGCAAGGGGGTCCACTCTGAACCTCGTGACTCAACGGGAGGGTCTTCTTTACTCTTTGCGCCTCCGGTCTCTGTGGGAATCATTCTAACTCAATTCTAACTCAATTTTCCTTTGTATGTTTCTTCTATGCAGTAATTAATAACGTGAACCTTGCCATCAAACGTATTGAACCTTGTCATACCACTGTTAAACTTTGTTAAATTCCATCAAATTTATTGAACTCTGTCAAATTATTATTTTACCTCAATAAAACACGTTGCTGCTTCTCTCTTCTGAGTGAGGTGCATTCCACTCATCCGCGACAAGAGGGTATCAAAATTGCAGTTTTCAGCCTTAATCAGGTCTAGCGTTTTGTGACAGCAATGCAGGGTTTTCCAGTTTCAAGGAACAACAGAAAGCAAACAAGTTTTTTTCCTTAAGACTGTCCTGGTGGAGATGCATGCCTTTTCCCAGCACAGCCTTTACAAAACGTATCAACCATTTGTTTGGAGTTAAACTAGAACGCAGGAAAGTAGCCACGGTTCATTGAAGCAATGCTACCCATGAGGAGAGTGGAAGTGAAGTAAAATATACACATTGACTAAGTTTATACAATTTGTTGCACTTAAAGCTGAAACAATTTTCTTGGTGCCTTTTCAAGCATAAACTTTTTTTCTGGCTTATTGTCTGGAATCATGTTAGCGCTTCTCTCTGCTTTCAGCATTACGGAGGGACATTTTTCCCTGACTCTCTCTAGACCGTTTCGTGTTATGTTCCGGCAGAAATCCACGTGGAGCGTTTGCAGTGATCCCCCATAGAGGGTCACTGCTTCTAGTGTCTGGTCAGTGATCCGCACACAGTTTTCCAGTTGGAGCGTCTTGAGGTTTGGGCAGTTCTTGAGAAGAAGCGAGATGCAATCATCTGTAACATGGCCGCATCCAGAGAGGGTCAGAGATAGCAGGTTTGGACACCTGAAAACATGATTGTTACAGTGAGATGAGCGGAAAAATAAATAAGAGAGCTTGGAGAAGCTAGTATCATCAAGAATAAATGTGAAAGTTAGAAAAAGACCTCCTCTTCCATCAGGAGGGGTAAGAAAGCGCGAGTAAGTGGGGACCTATCTAGATCTTCATGCTCAGCTTTACTAATCACAAAACTTACCTTCTTTGCTTTTTCTGTTGGTAGCAACATCTATAGCTCAGTTGGCATAGTGGAGAAGGGAACGTGGATGCCTATTTAAGTTGCAGCTGCACTGGTTTTTCTTAAGGAGTTGCATGGCGCTGTGCTTGGAGAAGCGAGTGAATGAAGACCCGGTAGAGATGAGATTCAAGGCAGGATGAACGTGAGGTCAATTGAGTGAAGAGGCTGCTGTGTAGATATGCTGAGCATGGGCAAGTAAGACACTCCCGCTCTTGGTTTTACAGGGATTAATGGGTGTATTTTAGCTCCTTGGATTTACCAAATAGGTGCCAGCTGCTACCTAAGAGTGTTGATGTTTGAACCCCACACAACTCTTAAAACCTTCCTTCAAATCACTGAAACTGGTAAGAACTCTACCGTTAAACAATGATGCAGCAAATTAAAAAAGCTTTCTTTTTTGTTGCTTAGGTAGACCTGGGAAAGTACAGAAAAGGCTTGTTCCAAGTCGGTGTGTTGATGACTTATACTAACTGTCCTTCTGCGGAAAACTGGAGCGGACCAGTTATTACTAGCTGTTGTGCTGACCAGGCATGTTTGCAAGGACCCTTGTGCACCAGCCTGCAAAGCCTTTTGTACAAAGTTTGGTTTCTGGCTTACACCTTTCTTCAGGGAGCAGCAGTTCAGCTATCCATCTGTTTAGCTAAATGCAGCTTCATGTTGCTCTGTTAGCACAGGACTTCTTTAGGCTCTGTTGTTGAGGGGGAAAAGTGATTACAGCAATGCTAGTATTGACCTTGTGAGACCTTTGGACAGAACTATTAGCCTGCCTCCATCCTGTAAGAACTGTAAGGTGTCTGTAAGCACTTCCATATGAATATTTGTGCTTACAGCCAGCATCAGGGTTTTAGGTGTACAACAGCAGTGGGGGCAAACGAGGGGCTCTGCCATCACTGCAGCATTTTCTTTTGTCCTTAACAACGGGCACATAGTACGTTCCTCTTTCTCTACACCCCACCCCATCCTCCCGCTGCTGCTTGGTTTCACCGTTTGAGCAGAGGTAATAAAGTGAGATCATGTCAGCTGCATGATCTTTTTTTTACTCTTTTCCTTTCCACTTACAAACAGCTAGAAAAACAAATGTTTTAAAGAAAGGCTCCGACCTGCCATCTCTTGTGGCTTCGTCAACAGAAAAGTACTCCCAACTCAGGGAGAAAAGTTGTATGTTTGTTTAATTTGCATTTTTACTTGCACAGAATGCTAGGAATTTTGTTCAGATGGAAATGCTTTCAATGAGTTGCTGCAAAAAAAGGCAGCAACTCGTGTTAGGAAGGCTAAAATGGATGGGGGGGGTGAGTGTCAATATATAACTGTCATTTTTAAGAGTTCAGTTTAACTTGTGGAAACGAATCCATGGAAGGCTGAAAGGCATTTGCTGAATGAGATTGCTTACTACCCAGGCTTTGCTTTGAATTTTGTCCAGCAACCAGTTTGGGGTTATGGATTCTACAGAGGAAAAAGGCACGTAGATGTTAAACTATTTCCGCAGAGCTGTGGTCTTGTGTCCTCTTTCTGAATCCCAATTTGTGATGGCAGAAAAATGGAAATAGTTAAGTGTGGCCTCATGGTAGACATTCCAGTGCCAAAATGAGAGAATATTTCCTCCTATGGCCTCCTTTGTAGGCACAGATGTGCTTCTTAATTAGTCCAAATTTTTAACCAGTTGCTCTAGAACAGTTACTTCTGAAATTTTGTACTTGCAACTTAACGTTTTGAACCTACATTTCAGTCCTTGTTTTGAGATTGCACTGTTGCCGTTTTGAGATTGTGCTGTTGCTGTTCTCACCAAGGCACTGTGTCCTGTCAGTATCCTGTAATTTGCTGGGGTCTTTAAATTGTTACTTCCAAATAGAACTTTCTGCCTTCCCTGTTGTGGCACAAAGCTGAGGGCTGGCTGCGGCACAAAGGTGTGCCACTTCAGGATAGGCACCGACATGCCCCTTTCAGCTCTAATCTAGGACCACAGCCATCCTCGGTGTTACTAAAACACTAGGATTGCCTCTACACTGTTTGCTCCTCCTAATGTAATTTAACTTTTTTTTCTTCGAGCTGCTTTGTAGCAGTAAAGCTGTTCTAAGAAATGGTGGGCACCCAGAGCTGCTTTTCCATAGTGGTCTTTCTTTTCCTTTACTGTAGTTTATAAAAAGCTTAGCCAGAGTTAAACTTCAGTATAAAAGCAATACTTACTCCTCAGAATGAAACAAATTTGGTGTTTAGTAACGTCTGTAATGAACTTGGGTTTGTTATGACATATATTCACTATTTGAAATCATGTCTTTCCTCTAGCCCCTCCCCCCAGGACAATGTTCTGCACTGCCAGAATGGTACGTTTCAGTTAAGCAGCAATTTAGTAGGCAGTATTGCACTTTCCTATATTAATTATTCATTCTTCAGGAAAAAGAAGGAAAAAATAGGCTTAAGGAAAGTGAATATGAAGTATATGCTATTGCCACTACAAAACCAACTTAACGCTATATTAAAATTCCAAAGTGAAAGCACTCACGTACTTAATGCTCCATTCAGGTAGGATGTATGGAGTAAATAGCTCTCAATTGTCTCATTTCAAGGCAGTTAACCTTTACAGTAGCTGTAGAGTTTCACACCCAAAGAACGTACCTGTTGCAAACTTCTAGTAAAAAATCATTGACAGTGTTTTCATGCCTGTTACAGAAGTCTTTCTGGAAATTGTTTTTCATCCAGTCCTCAATGTTACACACCTTGACTCTCTCTGAATACCAGCAGATGGATAAGTATTTTAAAGCAGGTCCCAGGAGAAAATTATCCTTCTTTAGTTCCGCTGGAGAATGAAAGTTCAACAAAGACCACAGTAAAGGATCCTGAAACACTTCTAGCAACTTGTGACATGTTTTTGCTAAACTTTTCCTACTATTTTTGTCCAGAAAAGAAAATAGATGTAAAAGGCATTCCCGATTCAGCTGGGTTATATGCATAGCCCGTCAGAGCGTGTTAGAAAGAAGACTGTCTCCTGGCCTTGTGGAATAACGGCAGTGCTGGAGGGGACTCAGAATCACCAGAAGGCTGTTGCACATATATGGTTGTGGAATGGCGTTTATTTTTGGCGAACAACTGGTGCAGAAGCTAAGAACAGGGAAAGGAAAGAAACTTGCATGCATGAAACTCTTGTTCTGTTTCGACAAGGGAATGGAATGGGCATGTAGAATAGCAGCACTTGACTTTCATGAAATGCTTCCTTAAAAGGGATTTCTTTCCTCTTAGGGACTTCTGAAGTTCAGCACAGTTCTTGTGCGGAGTTACTGAACTGGGGGGCGGGGGCAGGGGGTGTAGCTACAGCTGCAAGGAGTAGCTTTGCCAGCCTCTCCAGTTTGGATGGTTTGGCTTTCCAAGCGGAAGTTTGTTTTTGCAGTGTACAACAATTTTAGCCTTGATCTGTCCATTGATTTTTTCAAAGGTTGCACTTCTGCTTTGTGTTCAAGGACTGTTACACTGGATAATGATCTTTCATGAACAGCTTGTAAAATGAGTTGAAAAATTCCCTGGGTGCTTGTAAGGCGCGCACACACACACACAAAGCGTGGAGCTTCAATTTACAAACCTCAGACTTAGGGGCAGTTTCCTGCACGCTGTTATTTGAATAAACAAAGCTGGCTGTTTCCCCACCTTTTGCATGAGAGTAATGATAAGCAGGAAGACATGCATGGGAACAGCAAGTCTATGTTTAGCTGCTTGTAGGCTTGTGCTTTTAATGGATGTCTTCTATTAGCTTGAATTTTACAAGTTCTCTTGTGTTGTTTATGGTTTTGTAGGTTTAGTTCTGTTACCGTAGACTTGGCCGTTTTGCTGGGAAAAGGATATACAGAATTGGTTTTAGGAATAAAAGTGTTTGTTTTCCAGTAATGAGAGAAACTGTAGCAGAAAGTCTCTCCTAGAAGAAAAATAAAGCTACAGCAAATGGCAGGGTGGAATTAAAAGCAACAATGAACAGCAGCTGTGTAACTTTCATGTTTGTGAAATAAAAATGCTCCAGATGAGGGCAGTTTATGCCCCTCTTCTGTCTGGTGTTAATACAGGAAAAGAATACATTCAGCTAATTAGTAGATATTAACAGCAAAACAGCCCTGCAGGACTTGTTGAAGTGGCTTGCACATTTTTAGTAACTGGGAGGTTTTATGTACCTATGCATTTTAATTGGGTTTGTGGCAGTATCTATGACAGGGCTGAGTGGGACCAAAGTTCATCTTTTCCTTTTTACCCTGAGAATGCAGTTTGAAATTCAACTCCGAAAAGCAAGGTTTGAAATGTGTTTGCAGTCTGCAACAATTATTTTAGCTTCTTATCTGTGCTTGAGTAATGTGTATGCCTACACACAGTGACTCAAAAAAATGGCAAGTGTGGATCTGTTTAATTCTTTAGAGTTTGTAATTTTCTATATGGTAAGCTGTGCTTAACAATTGTCAGTCTCTTTGGGAGAGAGTTTCATATCCTTTGTCATTTTTAATATTTTCCTTGAAACGAGGAGGAGATTCCTGCTCCCCACCCACGCTCAGAAACAGGCTATGGACAGTGGCATGAGTACTTTATGAAGCCACGAAAGGGACAAGAAGAGTTAGATGAGGTCACATACCAGGTAAGCCAGTCACTGGAAAACAGCAGCTTAAATGGTGTGCCAGCAGGTGTTGTTCTTCGTTCTCATACTAGCATTTTCAACTCTCACTGTGTCCCTTCATCTGTTTCAGAATTTACCTTCATTTTTGAGCAGGTTTAAATAGTCGAGAATGCTCAGAGTTGTAATAAACACAGGAATATTATTGATAAAAAACCCCAACAAACAAGCAAACTTGAATGACAAGGTTACCATTGCTAGGATGGACTCTTTAACCACACAGAGGACACACGCCACAATCTGACATGAAAATTAACAGCTCTTGGGTGACAAGGCCCTTTAAAATTGAATGGCAGGTCCTCTTTGGGTATAGATGCAAAGTTTTGGTAGAGGTGTTAAATAGTGGGAACACTTCAATTTTGCTTTATTTTGTTTTCCCCAGAACAAGTTAAAATCCTCTGCCGTCTGTGTTCAAAGGACTTACACTGACGATATTCTGCAAGCCTGTAGAAGGACAAGAGGAGTTTCATTTTCTAAGGAAAGGAGACACTTTAATGGCACATTTTCCATAAACACACTGTGTGAATGAGATATAATTCACATTCAACCTGGAAATGCTCTAGAAACACACAAGATGAGCACAGTCAGTAATCCTCACTGAAAAATTACACACTAGATTTTAATGGTAAACAATTACAACTATGGCACTACAGTACTTGAGGATATCCTAGAGCACATTGGAGTCAGTTTTCGAGGTGCTGATTACCTCATCAGTAAGACACAGACACATCAGTAATGAAACGTTGTGGAAACTTTTGAACACCACGTGTTATGCTTTTCATTGATTTAGCAAAATGGTTATAAATGGCCTCCTGCTTTTGATACACGCCTGCTTTCCGCACCTGTCTGAAAGTTTGGGTTTTTTTTAAACTCTCCTCTCAGGGTGACATCTGTTACCACCTGGCAAGCACCTGCTGAGAAGGAGCTCTCTTTGTAAGAAGTGCTTTAGAGTTTCGCATAATGCTGCACGTAACAGCTCGCTATACAACACACTAAAGCAGAAGTACTCTGAGAGCTGGACATTTTGGAGTTTTGTTTCACGTAAATCGCATCTCCAGTTGTATACGTGGCTAAACAATTACTAACAAAAGGACAACCTTCGATCAGACAAATTTTGGTGAAAACTATGCAAGTCTTTGAACTGTAGAGAGCAGTTGTTGCTTGCAGAGCAGTCACAAGCAAGAAAAAAATTCTTGCCAGTTAGTGTGTACTGTGATCAGCAGTAAGTAGAAAAGAAACATTTGGCTTAAATGAAATGAGATATCCCCCCCCGCCCCCCAAGCTAGTAGATAAATATAGGATATACAAGTAAGGTTAAAAATGTAATACTAGGCCAGGTGCAGTATATGTTACTGGTTCAGTGCTCAGGGGTTTTTTTGTTTTTTTTTTTTGACACCACACTGAATAGAATACAGTGGATAAGTGAAGTTCTCCACGAGGAAGAGAAATACTTGTGTTGCCACAACAAACTGTTCATACTGTCCATCTGGGTTTGCAGTGGGAGAAAGTTAAATTAGGAAAAGATTTACAATGTACTTGTTCCAGTAAAGCATATGGCTGAGTCCTTCTCACCACCTGCCGCAAGAACAAGACTGACGTGATTGCATTGTGTTCCCATGGCCGTGTCTCAAATGGACCGTGCTGGATACTATTGCCCAAGACCTTAATGTTACACAGCAAATGTTACTGAAAGGAAATACTGAAGTGAGAACATAACTCTGACCCAAAAAATTAACTGGAGAAGTAGAAGCTGCTTAAAAAGTAAGTGAATGTTGCTGAAGATTACAAATTTAAGTTTCTAAAAATACAAAAAAGGCACATTTACATCACTGGTTTGCGAGAACACTGCATACACCTGACTACTGTAAGTTAAACTGCTTCTGGCCCATAGCTAGTTGTGTATTTTCAGCTTTGTATGCTCAAAACTAAAATTCTAAAGCAATCCAATCCAAGTAGCATGCAGAGAAAATGCAGCTATAGATGGAATCTACTTAACTCCCAACTAACTGTGAGCATAAGGCTGCCCTTCAGTGTGATAATGTGGTATAGGATACTTCACTTGCCCCGCACATCAACGAAGTCTGTCAAATACCTTTTTCTGCCTGTATAAATGATAACAACTACCTATTCTGATTAGAAGAAAGGCTCTGGCTGCAAGAAACGGAGAAATGGTAGGTGACAAACTATCTACAATTTAGAGTAAAGTAATGAATAGTTCTATTTATTGTTCAACTTAAGTAAAAGAAGACATCCTTATATATGTCACTTAATGTATCAAATAATAATCACAATAGGTTTTAACTAGTGTACAGTTTACATATTCATACACCATTAGCAATGCTGAATGCTTTCTGCAGTTTTCTAGTAAGCCAATTTTTCTCTTTCCTGGTTTAAGATGCTGCGAAAAAGCAATGAAGAATGACATTTAAAAAAAATCTGATTGTGATTTCTCTTTATACCTGTCAGTGTACAGCTAGCAGGTAACCCATGGCAAGGAAATTGATGCGTACGCCCTGTGCACCAGGTAGAGCTATGGTACAATCTGTAGGAACGTTTTTACTGCGTACTATGATGTGTTTCAGCAGCATTAACTAAAAAGGGTAATCACATTTTACTTGAGCTCTTGTGTGTTTTCAGACTACTGTATTTTACTGGTATCACAACTAAAAGGCAACGTTTGATTATGTGACTCTCTGTTAAGCAAATTCTACTCTTACTAGGATTTTAGGAGTGTCCTGTTCCTTGCTAGGCACACGGGGGCTAGCTAGAAAGGATGGGCTGGGGGAAGAGAACTGAAATGTAGCACTTGTCAAATTTCAGATTTTTTGGGGACTCCTGGCTTTTGCAATACTGGTTTTCCTGTCCACCTTTTTTAAATCTTATTAGCTGACTTCCACTCTCCAGAACAGCAGTACAGCTAGAATTTTTTTTTTTTTTAAACAGAAGTCATTCTCCATTACACAGCCAAGTTTTAGAAATCGTATCATGCCTCCAGCATTCGTCTCGAGACCATAAAGAAAGATTCCACACTGGGCCAATGCGTAAATACTACAGCAACCCGAGTCTGCTCCAGTCAACAAGCAGTCTTGGCTCAACTCCCATCAGGCAGGCTAGGCAGCAAACTGAGCATCTTCCCTTTAGTTTGCATTTGAACTGGTAAAACAATTGTCTGCCTTGCAGAGCATCTGGAACACCATCCCCTTCCTTTTGGTTTTAAGTGAACTGCAGGCATTTAGTGGACAGGAGCTATATTTAGACCCAAGACTGTTCTCACAAACCCCAAACTTTGGGGCTGTACTCCCAGTTCCCACCAGGAAGGAGGGTTGGGGTCCCACTGCCAGAAGTCTCCCAAGTTTTCAAGCAAGTAACATTCATG